CACGGTCACCCCCGACGGGGCCCCCAGAGCGACTGCAACAAAAGGAGCCGGGCTACGCTCGGGCGAGAGCCCCCCTCACTCCCTCCCCAATAATGCAAGAACTGCGCTCCCCAGCCCGGCGGAGGCAGCGACGGCGAGCGGGCCCGTGGCGGCCCGCAATGGACTGGCCGAGGGCACCGGGCAGGAGGAGGAGGAAGACGAGCAGGTGCAGCTGCTGTCTTCGTCCCTGACTGCTGGCTGCAGTTTAAGAAGCCCCTCGGGCGGGGAGGTTGAGCCTGGGGAGGATCGGACGATACGATATGTCCGATACGAATCCGAGCTACAAATGCCCGATATCATGAGACTGATCACCAAAGATCTGTCCGAACCCTACTCCATTTATACTTATAGATATTTTATCCACAACTGGCCACAGCTGTGCTTCTTGGTAAGTGGATGGAATGAAAAGGGTGAACCCAGCAGAGATCCAGGCGGAGCAGGGCAGGGAGTGTGAGGGCGGAGAGTGTGGCCGCGGATGTATCCAGCTTTGCATAGTACCTTACACGATATAAAGTACCAGTGTACACTCCTAGTTATTTAATGAAACTTTCGAAGGTAAGACATTGTGATCTGGGTTAACCTGATACTCATGTCAATGCAGCAAGCCTGTATGATGCATATTTCGCTGGGGTGCTTGTGTCCTGTTTCCATTACCTTATTATCGTGTTAGGCCGTCTTTAATCACCCTTCCTCAGCCTTAAAGCACTTGGCAGTCATTTAATTTGAAGTTGGTTTTGTTCGGATATGGGCCTTATTAATCTCACAATTACAGCCGTAATCGGGGAGGAGTATATGCGCAAACATGTTCAGGTGAACATGATTGTCAGTGAACTTGCTGTGGCCACATTGGAGAATTAAGTCTTACAAGCATGTAGAGTAATTACAGAGAGCGTTTCCTCTTAACTTCAACAGGACAATTAAACAGTTGTAGCCAGCTTGTTTGTTGGCGCTGCTTTGCAAAAGGAGCTCCTAACACTTGCTGAAAGAATCCTGAAACTTGAACAGAATACTCCTGGAATGTAAAAACTTAGTGTGAAGCTGCTTTATTCTTTTTTTTTTTTTAATGGAACTGGTCATGGATACACCTAGGTGTTTGTAATATTTGTGTGGGGGTATTATGAGGGCGTTCAACTAGTTCCTCCCAGTCGGACACCCTTCTGAGTATTTGCGTTACCACCTCATACATAGAGTCAGAAGCTATAGTTTTAATGAGAGCCTTAGGTAATTCATCGGTGTAACAAAGCCTGGGGAATCTTGTTAAAATGTAGACTGGGTATAATTGATACAAGTTTTTACTTAAAAATGATTTAGCTACTGAACAAGCTGAATAATTTATTATTTTAAGAAATACAGTGGTATTTTAAAATTTTAGGATGAAAGAAATACTGCCATTAATTTCCACCCAGTTATATTAGCCCATTTCAGTTCATTGAACCCTTTCATTTAAATATTGACTGTGGATACTTGCTTTGTATCATGAACTCACAATTATATTGTTTCCATTGAATGTAAAATTCAATGAAAGAGAAGGTGATACACTTTTTAAGGATGTTTTTTAAGGGAATGGAAAAACTGCAAGACATTTTGACAGTACTTCAACAAACTTGTTTTGAGTTTGGTAATCTGCAAGCATTACTGGTATAGATAATGGCAGTTCTGTGGAGGTTTTCTGTATTCACTTGGATAAAGTTCAAGGTACAGTGTTTCTTTAAATGACAGGAACTATTTTATATTCTACAAAGCCACTCTTTCAGGATTGTAAGCATTGTTCTCAAACACATTCTAAGACATATATGTATCAGTGAATGTGGGAAAATGCTTTTAGAGCTCGAGTATGAGACACTGGACTTCTACTGTTATGTTAACAGTTACAGTTCAGGAAACCAATTTCTGGGGGTGGGGCTCGCCATGCATCGACATTGACTCCATGGCAGTGAGTTTGAGTTTTATTATAAATGTCAAGGAGCCCTGGTGGCATACTGGTTATGCCTTGGCCTGCTAACCTCAAGGTCAGCAGTTCACCACCAGTTGCTCTGAGGGAGAACGGCTTTCTACTCCCATTCAGTTCTGGGAAACTCACTGGGCACGTCTACCCGGTCCTTGGGGTCGCTGTGAGTTGGCATCTATTAGGTCGATGGCAGTGAGTTTGGTTTTGGTTTATTATTAAAGTCATATTAAATGTCACTGTGATTGCTAAAAATTTTAGATAAATTGTAACCCACAAAGACAAACATTTCCGATTGAAATAGTATTACAAGGAGGCTTCAAGAAGTTTGTGGAAAAATTGAATTAAAGAAAATGGGATTTTTCCATGAGCGTTTTGAATTCCATTCATATATGTCTACCAACTCTAAGAAAAATATATAAGATAATTGGTAGGCTTTTGAGTTCTGGTACTAACCTAGACTTTACATTGATAAATTTAGGAAACTTCAGTCTTGAGTTTACACAGACCTTTCCCAGTTTGCCAAATAATTTGGACTTTAACCCTTAATAGACAGAGTTGGTTGAATATATACATTTAAATTTAAATATCTTGTAGAAATGGAGACATGTAGAAGTAGTTAAAAGATTTGTTGGTGCAAGTATGTATCTGGGAGGTATTGAGCAATAAAACAATAAACTTAGAACCGAGGTCTTCATGTTGGAATATTATTAAATATGAACTTCCCATAACTTTAAAAAATTGTAAATTGTGTTTTTATATACAATTATATAATTTTAGAAGTGAATGAGATATAATTAACTCAACTTCATTTTTTAAATAAATTAAGCATCAGAGTAACATAACATGTTTAAATCTTTAAGTACTAATTGGCATTATGCTACCTGAAAAACGACATACTCATGACTCATTCAGCCCTTGGGTCACCACGGGCAGTTGTCCTTAGAACCATCAATCTTTTTTTTTTCCTTCTGTGCCATAATTTTTTTATTTTATAGATTTTTAAGAGATTAGAAACTGCAAAATGTTCTTGGTTTCCGTGGGTAATTCGTAGTGAATGGTGTTCCCCTTATAAAAATTACCAATCCTTGACTAATCCTTGACTATTCTGAGTCGCAAAAATGATGGTTCTCTGATTATTCCTAATAAGTGTAACCTGTGAAAGTAGAGTGGTGCACAAATGGGAGACACTGTCGGTTTTTGGCATTCGTGGCATTGGCAGTTTTGTGGTGCCTTTTTGAAGTCCTTAGCCTTACAGCTATTGAATATACTACTTCCTCTTATTCCAAATTTAACTTTCCAGATTCCATCTGTTTCCTACCTCAACTTTTGGATTTCAGGAGTCTCTATCTCATGGTTTTATATATTTTTGGCTCAACAGAGTCAAGTCTTGATCTTGCCAGGGATTTTTCAGTAAAGCATTTGGCCGTGCCCCAAAAGTTGGCAGTTCGAACCCAGCAGCTCCTCAGCAGAAGAAAGATGGCAGTCTCTCCTTTAAAGATACAGCCTTGAAAACCCAGTGAGACAGTTTGTCTCTTGTCTACAGAGTTCTCCTACATGAGTAGGAACTGACTCCATGAGAGTGGGTTTATTTTGTTTTTTTGGACTTGGGGTGTGGGTGTGGGTGTGAATGCATTTAGTATCATGAATTCCAAATGTATAAAAAAGATTTTATTTGGACAAATTGACAAGCAATGTAGGTATCACTGTGTATTCAGCAATTTATTAGGAAGAAGTGTAAAATTGGCATGCCACACTATGGTGTCATATAATGGACTTTATTTTTAAATCATGATGTATGTTAACTTGTTTTTCCTGCAGGTTCTTGAGGGCTCGGGGGCGGTGAACTGTTAGGTTTTCTTATTACTTGGTTGAGCAAAGATTGGTTTGAAATTCCTGTCCATTTTGAAAGTCTTGTCAGGTTGTGTATATATATGTGCAAACATATGCTTAGTCTTTTTAATTTCCCCCCTCCTTTTTTAGGTGGTCTATTAACTGTAAAGTGTAACTGTCCAACAGTTTTGTAGCATAGACTTACACAGATTTACACTTAGCATGAATGAGGCTTTTGAGTCCAGGTCTCAAGATGTTCTGGCCCATTTAAATGTACCCTTTGGTCTGTGATAATTTTAAGGAACCAGATTGATTTGAGCGGGACAGGAGGAGGAAAAATTTCAAAAGCCTATTGATCCAAAATAGTTTGGGAATGTACAATAAAACAAAAACCGAGTTGTTGAGTTTAATATTCCTTCTAAAGGATTTTTTTGACCTTGCTACAAAGTTTCTCCACAGCTTAAAAAGGAAAAGAAAAAAAGGTCAACAGTTTTGAGTTACAATATGCATTACGTATAATTGGACTTATGAATTTAATTTTTAAAATCCATTCATATTTCTGTTACTGAAATTGTTTCTTCTGGAAAATTAATCATATTAGTAGATATTTTGAGGTTTTCTTATTTTTAATGAGGGCATTTTATAGCAAACAAGTATTCCATGCAGACAGTTTGAGATGCCGCCCTACTTTTATTTACCAGAATACAGGCTCGCTAAATTTTTTTTACCAGTGATAGAAATTGTTCAGTGGTAACAGTGGAAATCTTGATGGTAAATAGAGTATGATGATCAGCATTTATTTAATACGTAACTTTAAACATTCTGAGAAAAGTAGGAACCTTTTGCTATATCTCATTTTGAGCTATAGGTTTTTGTTTTTAATGACCCACATTGTCATGAGAACATCATGAAGTCTTTGTAAAAACTTCAGTAACAAAAACCCCTTAGGTAAGATTTTTGCAGTAACGTGTAAACATCTCTTTTGTAAAATTTGTGGATTTCATTTCCTGATCAAAATCTAATTTCACCATTCATGTATGAGTTTTATGTTTTGTATCTGTCTTTCACTGACACTTTATTATAACTAAGTTTAAACTTAAATACTCAGCTTGTAAGCAAATCTTAATATTTTATCGGAACCTAATGAGTAGGGTTTCTCTTAAAATATACTTACATATCTTCTCAAAACGTAAAACACATGGGTGTTTATTGCAAATAATTGCAATTCTAAGAACCTTATGTTGGTATGAATGTTTATCTTGTGAAAATCTTTTTTCTCTAGGCTTTCATAAATAACAAAAGGATTTTGAGAGATTTTAAAAATAGAACATAAAAAAGAGTCTTGAAATTCAGATTTCCTTGATCGTGTCCTTCATGGAGTTCCCATTCCCTACTTCTTCCTCACAAATGCTGAGCATGGTTGGTTGCTGTTTTCACTGAGCAGTTCTACAGTACCTGATGGCAATGCGTTCTTCATAACTATTTGTTTGTTTTTAAGGCAATGGTAGGGGAGGAGTGTGTAGGTGCCATCGTTTGCAAGTTGGATATGCACAAAAAGATGTTCCGCAGAGGTTATATAGCCATGTTAGCTGTGGATTCCAAATACAGGAGAAATGGCATTGGTAAGAAAACAGTGTTTTTGTGTTGTGTGTGTTTTTGTTTTTATTTTTACAAAAAAGAAAAATAGAGCATGAAGTTAAGACAAGAAATAGATTTTATTTTTTTATATTTCAATATAGTATTTTCCAAAAGTTCTTAAAAAATGAATCATTTTCTCTTTTAATGCTTTCATTTCCTCAACTGATTATCTTTCTAACAAGTAACAGGTGAACAGTCTTGACTTAGAAATATTTTTTGATCACATTTGAAATCTCTGCCAACTGTGTAACCTGGGAAGCATAATTAATGCCACTGAATTGTACAAATGAAAAGGTTGAAGTGGCAAATGTTTTGTTGCATCTATTTTACTCTGGTTACAGATGCAAGACTGCAGGAAGTACAAGGGGACTTCAGAAAAGTTCATAGGAAAATTCCATTATACTTTATTTTCATTTGTCCACAAACTTTTTGAAGCCCTCTTGTACAGATGCCTTTATAGCATATGTAGGGCGCTGTATCCAGCCTTCAAAACAGCTGTCTAATTTTGGAATATGTGGGTCTCAGTCCAGGCAAAATTATGGGCACCTTTTTATCATTACTCAGTATAGTCATCAAACATTTTGTGAGAGAGACTCAAAAAAGTTTGTGGAAAAGAGAATTAAAAGAGAATGGAATTTCCCCACAAACTTTTGAGGTCTCCTTATATTAACCGACTGTCCGGGGAGCACTCAGAAGAAGATTGCTTCTTTCCCCGAGGCTTCTGCCTTGGAGCTGCCTTCCCTGACAGTTAATCTTATGCTCATGGTTGGTGATGGTCAGTAAAACCATTTGGGTGATGTAGGCCACTCCTGACAATCTTGTTGGTCCTGTCAGTCAGTGGTAGGGATAAGGCTTCCCCAGTTGTCTGCCTAGCTAAGAACCACTGTCCCCATGCTTGGGACCTGCTGGCTCTTTGTCCAAATGGAGGGTCAGGTACTGAGGCACTTAATCTGAGCATGTCAAATTCTGGAATATAAATCTTTACAAGAGAGTATTTGATGTCGCAGTATTATCAGTGTTATTGTCCAACTTAATGTTTTACACACAGTCTTAGGTCGTAAAGAATCATTGTGAATGAAGGTTCATTTAATATTGAGTGAAACCAATTTTCCTTACAGTGTTAACATTCAACAATAAGTAGTAGTGCTTTAAGGAAAGTTGGTTAAGCCTATAACATTATATTAAATTATTTTTTAAGTTGGGCTTGCTACATAGACGAAGGTTGTGTCTGATGTATTAAAAAAGGGTTGATAAGGACTCATGGAAAATGATAAATGATTGTTTGGCTAGTTCAGAATGCAACAGCCAGCTAGAGGTTTGCATCTTGGCCCTTAGACTGCAATTGTGTGTGCTTGAAGTTTAGAATTTTGGATATTTGTTATAAAAATTAGTATTTCTATCTTCTTTTAAAATCAGATTTAGCAGGGGTTTTTTTTGGAATGTACCAAGGTTGAAGAGTCTTCACACAATTTTTGTGCACAAATGGAATGAAAGAAATAACTTTTCCTGGCATGTTTGGAAGCTCTCTCATATCAGACCCTAAACTAGGCTACATTTCGCTAGACATTTGAAAACGCAAAGCTTCATTGTGTCTGAAGACTCTCAGTGGCTTAGCCATACTCTGGGACCCAGGGTATTTCTGGTGAGGCTGTCATGCTCTGGGTCCAGGGTTTTGGAAGATTTTTGATAAAACCAGGCTCAGTGGGTGGTGATGCTTGTGGGTGGCGGGGTGGGGCCTATAATATGTTCTGATTAGCCCAAGGAGTTCCTGAGCTCTCTGCAGGCCATATCTTCCCTTTTTCTTTCTTCCTTTTCTCCTCCCTTCCCTAGCACAGCACAAGCACCTGCCTAGGGCAAACAGTTATAGCTGAGATAAAGGAGCATATAAGAAGATGAATCTTTCATGAAGATACTTGCATGGCTATGTGTAGGCCCTATTGACTTCCCTTGGCTTAACTCTTTCCCCTCTTAATATGAAATAATCTATGTGCCTGCATTCAAGATATACTTCAACATTTGGCATTGCTGTGCTTACTGTGAATATAATAATTTAAGTATCTTTAACAAACAAATTACATTTTCCTTTATTAATACTCAGATCTGTATTCTAGGTACTAACTTGGTTAAGAAAGCTATATATGCCATGGTTGAAGGAGACTGTGATGAGGTAAGTCTTTCCAAATGACTAAGGCCTATTGTCCTAGACAGTACTTACTGGCTGGCTAGTCTCTCTTAAGTAACACATTTTTTTTATAAACCGTAGGGAAACTGCCAGCCCCTGTAAAAAAACCCATAAGCATTAGGTTATATGGCTGGGGGCAGAACAGAGCTCTTTAAAGTGTAGACTTATCTGTAGGTGAGCCGGAGTGCATCTTTGCCCTTCAGTTAGTGTGTAAACCCTGAAGGCGGGCATAGTGTCTTTATCCTGTAGTGCTGTGCTTATATATGTGAGGTGCTCAGTAAATGTTGGTGATGGTTGAGAATGTTCACATTTACTAGTGTATAATGTCGAGAGGAACAGCTGTACATTAGAGTACCAGATGCCTTTCATATAGCAATGATGGTCAGTGAGAACAAGGAAACTCATCTTGTATTAGTAATTGTATCAGCAACACAAGCAATGGAATAGGAATGTCATGGGCAAGAATGTTCTGTTCCTATGGTTAAGCCTTTTCTGAGTTCTAGTGAGCTAACCTATGTGTTAGTCTGTGTGCTTCACTTTATTTAATTAATTAGCTCTTTAAATTGTTTTGTTTTTTTCTTTGAAAATTCTTAGAAATGAAAGGAGATTTTGATTATTTTTTACTCTCAAGGTTCAGTCCTAAAGTATTGATAGGTTTTGGTGGGGGAGAAATGCACTTTTCAGGGTGGCCCTAAAAGCTAATGTGGATTCTTTTTAAAAATAAGTTTGAAATTAAGTCTTATTTAATCTGAGGCTGAAATGAGCATAGCCCTATAAGCTTTTTTCCTGTTGTTTGGTTTTTAAATGGATCCTTTTTGTGGTTTGAATAGCTCTGTTTCTGGATTAGAGACCTTATCCTTCTTGGGTGTTGGGGCGAGGAGATTAGCTGTGTCCCACATTGTTCAGGTAAAGAATTTGCTACATGCAATTTTGCTACAAGCTCTTTACAGAGCTTTTATCTCCCCTTCCATTACATTATAAACCATACACACAACACACCTTTCTGTCTCCTTTTCCTTTTTATTTATTTATTTGTTAATCATTTTATTGGGGGCTCATACAACCCTTATCACAATCCATACATACATCAAGTGTATAAAGCACATTTGTACATTCATTATCCTCATCATTCTCAAAACCGTTTCCTTTTTAATGTTTGGAAGTTGCCTTGTTTCTTGCTCCCACTTTTATTTATCACACACAGGCACACACTTTCTTATATACCACGTCATTCCATTTGCTTTGGTGTCTGCTTGTTTCACTCCTGTCTGACTGCTTCTTCACTGATGTGCTTGCTAGATAGGAACTTCTCCTCTTTCCTCGTCCTGCTTGTATTGTACCCTAGTGAGTGCTGTCCCTTATTAAAATTCTTCTCCGTCTGTAAGATCCAACTCAGATGCCAGCAACTCTTTACTTTGCCCTGGATCTTCTGCACAGAACCGTACCTTTTCTGACTTCTTTTTTGATTGCTCAATGTGCTTTAATGTATTTGTTCATTGTCTGTGCTTTAGCCACTAAGCCAGGGTCCAGTGGGGTGGAGACCCCTTTTCTAGTTAGCTCTATTCTTAGTACTTAGCGTGACTTTTGTGATAGGCAGCTCATGTTGGATCATTAGTTAGTTGTTTTGTTTTTAAAATTACTTTTTGGGGGCCTCATAACATTCCATACATCAATTCTTTCAAGCATATTTGTACATTTGTTGGCATCATTTTCTGAACATTTCTATTTGAGCCCTTGGTGTCTGCTCTTCCTTTTTCCCCTCCCTCCCACACTCGTGGAGAATCATTAGTTTTTTTAGCATCTTATGTGTACCTCGTTTTTTAAAACCACTTTTGAATTTTGACATGTAAAATGAATTAATAACTTGTCTGTCTCTCTTGATGCCTTTTAAGCATTTTAGGGAGAGGGATTTGTTATTTATTTTTATACATCGTAAACAAGATAAAAATAAATGTATTTGCATTATTAACCAAGTTGTTAAAAAACTTGAGAGCCCTCTGGGATAGTAGGGCATGGTGACCTTTGGGTAGAAACAAAGTTATATGTGAAAATGTATTCTATATAATTAATTGCTATGAGGAAAACGTTGAAATTCAAATTTCCCAAAAATTCAGTGACAAATTATGACATAAACTTGCCCTTTAAGTAAGGCCAGTCTTCCTTTGTTTTAAAGGGTCAATAAATTTTGACAAGTCATTAAAAAAATCTATCAAGACATTTGAGAGAGGCTTTACATATATTTTCTACTACTTAGATTGTGCTCTATGTTTTTTTCAAAATCCTTACAAGAATACCCCTTAACAAAGAGACTTGGAAATCTCTATGGAGCCTTCCTGTGCATACATATGCAGTCAATCTTGATTTCGTCTGGCAGAGGTCATTTGTGACTTGAGTCAGGCAGATGTTGCTTTTGATTGCCACTTGTCATTTGAGGCTAAGTTCAGAGTCAGTAATCATACATTTGAAATGAAGACCATTTTCTTTATCCCCCTCCTAAATTACAAGGCTATGCTGCCCGGGTCTACAAGATGTTTTCCTTTTTGCCTTATTGTGATTTTCTGAATAAATATTAGAATTGGACATAACAAATTAATGTAGTTAAAATTTTTTTTCACTTTTTATATATTTGGAACTGATTAAAAAGTTATGCCACGAACAAAGAATTAAAGAAATGGGATATATTGCTTCACAAGTAAGAAATGCACTATCCGTATGCTGATCTGGCTAGAAATTGATCACACACCTATATCATCGGGCTGCCAGATGTGTGGAAGTTAGAACTAGTAGCTCAGGTTTGTGTTCCACGTTAAGACAGTAAGGTGGATACATAAACAGCATAAACGCGTTTTCCGAATTGCAGTTTCTGAAGTGGACTCTGTCCACCTGATGAACGAGCCTGAGTGGCGGCCAGTGAGGTACTGCTTTTGAGATAAATGAGAATATGCCAAGTGATTGAGCAGGATGATGAGCAGTGTGTTTTGTTTTTTAACTTGTAGATGCCCTTAAAATGGTCTCTGAAAATTCAAATTAAAAAATTATCTCTAATTTTGATTACCTTGGTATTAGTACACATAGACAGCTATCATATGGGTAAGAATACAGTTAATGGGAATTAAGTGTGTAGAATGTGACTATAAAACATTTTTAGTTGAAAGACATGTTATATATTACAGTTTTATTCATATAATGGCAACTGCCCGCTCCCCACATGTATTTTGTAAGTGCACCCACCACTATTTGTTTTTTTCTCTCAACATGTTGAAAAAATTGGCATAGCAAGAGGGTGGTGTGATTGGTAAACAGATGTAAAAGGTGGACACATGATAGTTCCATAACAATGGGATAGTCTTTTGACTGCTATTTATGTTAAAATACTTTCCAATTGGAAAACCATAGTAAACAATACTTGTCTTTTTAGGACACTCATTTTGGTGCTTTTTTCTTAATTCTTAGTTTTAATATATAAATTCTGTCTTATAAATTGTGGCCTGTTATATACAGACTATTTATAATTGGCTATTCTCTACAACAGAATTTGCTTGAGCTAATACTAATTTCTAGCAATGTAAAAATTCTGCAAAAGGTAGTTTGGTAAATTCTAGACAGTTAATACTAATGCCTACTGTATTTTATACAATAGTGACTAAACTGGATTATTTGGAACCAAGTTATTTGGGGTTAAAGATATATAAGGGTAAAGTGATCAAATATATCCCCCCTCCCCCATGTACAGCAATAACTTTTTCTAGCTTTGTGTGTTTATTGACGAGGTTTAACATTTTTGTTTCATTGGAAACATTTTGGCTGTGAGATAACAGCTGCTATGTGAACAGAATGAAAAGTGAAGTTAAGCTATAGGAATTTGGGACTTCTGAGTCATTTGAGGGTTTGGAAAACTAGGTCCTCGGTTCTTCTGTTACTTCTGTGACTGTGAACAAGTCATTTACCATTTTGACTTTGTGTTAGCCTGGGTTGCCTGGACTACAGATTCTTAGACACTCTTATGTGTAAGAGAACTTTATATCAAAGAGCAATTGTACATTAAGAAAACATCCCAGCCCTGTCCAGATCAAGTCCACAAGTCCGATATTAGCCCATCTGTCCAATACTAATCCATAAACTCCTCTTCAGACTCATGCAAACCAGAAAGACTTGTGGATCCAGTGGCGGTGGAAACACCTCACACTGGCATTGGTCTCCGCATGGCCCCTCCAGCTCCAGGGCTCTAGGGTAGCTCTATGTGTCTTGTCAGCAGGAAGACAGAGCAGAGTCTGTATCTGGCCTCCAGTGAGCTATTTATCTCTGTGGTGCCTCCAAAGCGAGGTCATCAAGCTGAGACCTGATTGACAGGCTAGACTCCACCCCTTTGTAAGTTGACACCAGAATATGTAACTACCACGGTCATCTATCTCTTTATGTGGTGTAATGATAATTCTACTACTATGAAGTTAATCGGTTTGCAAATTCTGCCAGGGGCCAGTTCTGGTACCCACTGCTTGGTTCTAGCAGTGCCCAAATCAGACCTCCTAGTGCTGCCAGCTCCAATCTTAAAGCATATTTTCCAAGCTGTAATGATTTACACTTGTTTGCTTGTTTTTACTATAGCCCATTTTATTTGTTAAATCAAAGTTAGGACTAAAATGATTTACTTGTCCTTTGGTTTCCTATATATTCTCATGAAATAGACAAATAAGTAAATAAATAAAATTGCTTTATAGTGAGGTTTTAGTATAAACCCAGCTTTTCTCTCAATAGTTTATAAGAATTTAAGTGAATATAGGCTGTGGGTTTGGTTTAAATGTTAAAAAGGGGTCATCTTTATTCCCTTGGGCTTCTTTGTTATGTCAAGAAATTCACAATCTCTTTGTTTAGAAAATGTTAGTGTGCCAAGAGTCTTTACATTTAACCAAGCTTAACTCTGTATAATATTTTTCTATGTAATTGGATTTTATTTCATTACTCGGTTAGAATATAAACAAATATGAATATAGCCCTTAACGATACCTCTAATGCTTATTTATGTAGTCACAGTTAGCCTCAGAAGTTTCTTGGTTAAAAAGAAAAAAATTCTTGGAAGTGAAAATGACTGCTAATCAAAAGGTTGGAAATTTGAGTCTATCCAGAGGTACCTCAGAAGAAGGCGTGGCAATCTACATTTTAAAGACAGCATTCATTGAAAACCCTATGAACACTGGCACACCGGGGATTGCCATGAATCAGAATTGACTCAATAGTTTCTTCTTTAGCCTCAGATATGTATTGACGATCTTAGATTGCTAACTGTTGATGAAGATGGACTTGGATCCGTTTTACTGTTGGCTAGCTGTTTTCTCATTTGCTCCTTGCTTTATTCTGGCAAACAGAAGGTGCAGGAGGGTGGTTACTGCTAAACTCCAGCTCAGAGAGGCTCTGGACTATTGGTGGCTTTGGGCTTCCTTCATCTGAGAAATGGAAAACACAGCCTTTGAGTCAATTCCAGCTCACAACAAAGGGGATATCTATTTCATAGGGTTATTGTGAAAAGAAGAATGCTTGTGAAATGCGTTACGTGACACATAGTAAGTCTTCAATAAATATTACCTGTTGTGTTTGAAAATGGTCTCATTTTTCTGTGAAATCAACTCAAGTTTTCAGTTGTTAGAGCTCCAGTGCTTCCATATTAAATGCTTTGAATTAACATTTTTGTTGCCATCATCTGTGCTAGCTAATAAAAATCGCAGGAATTATCAAAGTTCTTCCTAGAAACATTTCCCACAGTTTATAATAGATCAGGATGATATTTTCTCTGCTCTACAGTCAAACTTTGCCAAACCTGGGTCCACACTCTTGAGTTCTCCAGTTTCAAGCGCACCACAATTGCCTGGGGGGTTAGTTAAGTAGATTGCTGAGCTCCACCACAGAAGTTTTGCAAGTTTTTCAAGATCCTTAGCCTAACTATGTACAATAAAATCTCTTGAGAGCTGCATGTGGCTAGGACTGCATTATTGTTTCCAAATCTTGAAAGTTTTCCTTCAAGGAATTCTGGCTGAATGTAATCTTAAAGGCTGCCTCCTCCCCAACCACCTTTTTAAGGTTCTGGAGTGCTTCTCTACACCCACCCCAAATTAGTGAATTAAGTGAGGGTTTACATAATCAGATCATTTTTTACATTCAACAGTTGCCCATTTTCTATTGCTCACCTCAAGGAAAATAGAGTGAAATCCGTGTGACAGTCAGAACTTAAAGGGACTGCCTTTTTTCCTGGGTCTTGCAAGTTTTTCATCTTCGGATACAGCTCACCACTTTTTTACTGCTTGTTTTAAGGGACACATCATAAGCCACTCTGAAATCTCCTATTTCCTTCATTACCTCGGTCAGCGGAACTCCTAACTGCTCTTTGGAGTCAGCATGGCAATACTTGCGTTAAGTGCTGACACTGTACACCAGGTTAAGCTGAAACGTGTGCTGTTGGGGGTCTGGTTCCTACATGCATGGTTAACATTTTAACATGTCTGTGATCAGTAGATGGATGTAGACATTCTCTGTCTCTTTGAACTCTTTGGGGGTGCCCCCCCCCCAAGTCCAATCAAAGCTTCCCAGAAGCTCTCAAGGCAGAGGCCAGCTCAGAAAGTAGAAAGCTGAGGCAACTGTTACTTGAGATTCCCAAGTGGTAATCTTGATAGGCTTCCATGAAGGACACAGGGTGATCACAAGAGCTTATCATGAAGAAATCCAAAGCCATTGTCACCGAGTCCACCTCAAGTCGTAGTGATCCAAGATGAGGTTTCCACGGCTGCACATCTTTGTGGGACTTCTCACAGATTTCAGTGTACAAAGAATCAGAGTGTATTGAGAAACTCAAAGTTCTATGGTGGGACTCACAGTCTTCTGTCACAATGAAAATAAAAAAAGAGAAAATGGAAAAGTGTGTTGGTGAGGAAAAAAAGACCAGGGAAGTTGAGCTGAGGAGTTGTTTTTTTATCACACCTGTTCATTCCTCAAGGATAGCAAGGCTTCCCACAAGGATGTCATTGAAAATCTTGCCCATTTACCCTCCGGCCTTGACCTCAGTCTGCGTGTTACTTTTCGTTCCCCAAACTCGAAGAACCTTTCCAGGGTACATGGAGGATGCTGAAACTGTAGTATGGATCATGGTGTGAGTTAAAGAAGGTAGCACTGGTCGGAGAAGGGAGGAGAGATGGAAGTACCATCTTCGAAAGTATCTAAACCTAGATGGAGGATGTGTTGAGAAATAGTAGTTTCACAATTTGATATTTTTGTTTAATGAAAGTTTCTATTATTTTACGTCAATATTTTTGCCTTACCTTAGTAGCTGATAAAATGAATAGTGGACCATTCTCACTCAGCAGCTCTATAGGTTAGAACAGAACCCGCCCCCCCCCCACCCCCACCCCCCAGGGTCTTGAGACTGTAAATCTTTTAAGGAAGTAGACCGCCTCATTTTTCTCTTGGGTTTTGTGTCTGAACCCTTGATAAAAGGGAGATCCTGTTTGCTGAGAGAACTGTGGAAGAAGCGTAGATTGTGAGCTCAACTGTACATGTCGTTACATCTATTGCTTACATTCTTGTCTGATTTACAATTTTTATTTTTTTTAGTAGCTTGAAAACAGAACAAGGAAAGATTCATATGCTTTACTTGGGCCTTTAATTGTATTTTGACCACCCCCCACCCCCCAACACTGAAGGTTAGGGCAACAAACAACAGTAGCTTACTATGATAATTCTTATTGGGCGAAGTTGAAGATCAATTTTTAAAAATCTCATTGCCCCCCGTAACCACTAATGTATTTAGATCTCTCTGTCTTTCTGTCTTTTTATATACGTGAGGTCATACAGTATTTTCCTCTGGTGGTTGACTTATTTCACTCAGCATAATGTCAGCAACCTATTTTAACAAACCCTCCAGGTGGTTATGGTGCACACTTAAAACTGGAGACTTCTCGGTAGAGCAGCCTTTCAGTGAGGGCAGATAGTAAATATGTTACACTTCAGTGACTAGGTCTTTGTGGCAGTTACTCAGCCCTTACCTAGCATTGAGAAAGCAGCCTCAGAGCAGGTACGCAAGTGGGTGTGGCTGTGCTCCGGAAACTTGCCAGAAGCTTGCACAGAAGTGTGTAGACGTGTAGGTTCCAGACAAGTACTGCTCTTGCCATTAGGCTACCTGACTATATGATGGTGAAGGCATTGGGGCTCGGTCTCAGTTGTCATCAAATAAGGCAAAAACATCCTATGGTTTTTCTTTCTTAAATGGAAGGGTTGTGGCAACCCTGTGGTATCAAGCAAGCTTACTCCATGTCTTCGTTACATTTTGGTAATTCTCTGAATATTTCAAACGTTTTCATAATGCGATTGCACACTTAATAACTACAATAAAGTATAAATGTAACTTTTATATGCACTTGGAGACCAAATATATGAATAAGTGAGTGCCTTTATTATGGTCGTTGTTGAACTGCCATGGTCTGAAAGCAAACCCACAGTATCTCTTAGATGTGCCTGTACTGGGTTATTTGCTTGAGCCTCTTAAATGGACTCTTTGGTCCTATCTTATTGTCACTCTCTTTTCCACAAGGAAATCATCCTTGTTTCAATGTAAAATATATATTGTCATTGAAAAAAAATTACATATTGCAAAATCAGTAAAACAGAAAGTAAATCCCCCAGTGATCCTGCCATCTTCCCCCAGGGATCATTCCAGTGACAGTTTTGATAGCTAGGCTTCTCAGTCTTTTCTTTATAGCAGTAATACTTATTACGATCACGATGAATTTTAAAGGAGCACAGTAGGCGTTTCTTAAATATTTGATCTGATTGTTTACTTTGTAATTTTATTTGTTTGCTTATGAAATGGTAACTTGGTTTCAAATATGTAAAATTATAACTCGGTTTTCTCTCATTTCTTTGAAGGTTGTTTTGGAAACAGAAATAACAAATAAATCTGCTTTGAAACTTTATGAAAATCTTGGTTTTGTTCGAGATAAGAGGCTGTTCAGATACTATTTAAATGGAGTTGATGCACTGCGACTTAAACTGTGGCTGCGCTGAGAAACTCGTCACGGAACAACTGACCAGCCACACAGCACCGGCCTTTGCATGCAATGCAATTTGTACTGAATTGCTTTGCAGGTGGATGTTAGTGATTTCCATGCAGCTCTTACCTGTCAGTGTCTCATTGGGTGCCGCACAATATTTGTTGCACTTTGGCATGGCGCATTTGTTCTGAATTAAAAGAGATTGTTTTAAACGTCCAGAGTTCTTTTGGTACCAACAAGATGTGCCAGTTGGTAGCCAAGATTTGTTTATTCATTTGTAGAATCTGGCAATGTTATTTACACACAGTGATTATTTTTTTCACAGAACCAGTGATTTGTCCCAGAAAAAAAAAGGCCAATGTTAATTGTAAAAATCTCCAATGTACTAACATTTCACATGAAACCTGCCCTTGTTTGCTGTGGGGGCTGGGGAGAAGCTTCAGTTTTAGGTTTTATTTTTTTCAATATTAAAACTTCCATTCTTGAATATTGGTACCTCACGTGATTCGTGGATGAAAAAAAAATCAGATGGGGGTGTGTCTTAACAATAAGTACCGATAATTGCGTTTGCCAGTGCCTGTGTAGATACGAATATTCGTCCTTATCTCTAGTTTTTGAATGCATGCTGTCTTTTTCTTTCTTTTGAGGCCTTTTGTTTCTATTTAAATTCTAAATTTGATAATAAATTATTTCAGATATATATAATTTGGATACTTTTTTTCAGGTGAGGGACAGAAAGGGCCACTGTAGACGTTCTTCGCAGTGAGAAGTTGAAGTGGCTTGGTAATTCTTAGAGAAGTGGCTCAACCCGGATGAGAACAATTGATGGAGCCAGGGACTGCTGGGTTTTGGATGCACTTTTTGTTGTGGTTGAGAGGGATTTTGGGAAAAGAATAAAAAATTAATGTAAATTTGTATGACTTTACTGAATCAAAATTACTGCTAAGCTGCACAGAACAGCTTTTACAAAGCAGTTGGAACTTTTATTCCCCATTTGATTTGATTTGGAATCACTTTGCTTCGTTTTCTGGAAATGCTTCACTTTTGGTTTTTGGTCATAGAAATAAATTTCAAGGTGTCTTACATCCATTTTCAGCTGCTTTTCTTTTCACTTACACAAGCACATTTTGGGCCCTCTGTGGTCCCCACCCAGGGGGCAGGGGGAGGGACTGGGCGGAGAGAAAAATGGGAGAAATAGAAATCTTTTTTGGGGGAATGAGTTCGGCGGGTTTTCTCAACACCAGCACCAAGTTCATCAGTTCCATTTTGGTCAGTTTACCAATGTCAAGTTGTATTGTTTTCACTTGCGTTAGTCGACCTGTGGTGGGTTGTTGCTTTCCCTGGAAAGCCTGTGAGGAAGCCTCCAAAAGACTCGTTCTCTGTGGAAAATGCAGGAAGCTTCTGTTGCTGTTTTCTAGAATTTGGATATGCCTTACTTCTATAATTGGATTTGAATTTTGCTTGTCTTATGGCTGTAAGTACTGTATTTTTTAAAACCCTACCTCCATTAACTGTTTGTAAAGGCCCCCTTTTGGGAAAACTTGTTGGCTTTTGTTATGTTTTTAAAGGAAAGCTGCTGTTTGCTCAGTGTACTGTCCTGAATGTGAACATGGTGACAGGTATTTTTAAACTCAAAATACACAGTTTATGTTTGATGATAATGTAAACATTGGGAACTGAAAATGGTTCTACCAGTAGGAAGTTTTAAAGTTTTTTTCTCTCTATTATTGTATTGCTCTGGGAAGGGAAGTTCAGTGGGCAAAAAACTAGGTACATTAGAAACAGGATGGCTACACAATAGCCTTCGCGTTTTAGCTGGCATTTTGAGTATGTTTTTCATTGAAAGTTCATTGCACTCCAGCGTTTAGAGCGCTGCAAGTTAAGAGTATGTGTTACTCTGGTTCAGATGGAGAGAATTCAAACAGCAGTTTGCTTGTGTCATCACATTGGCTGGTTCCGGGGTGTAATGATTGTTGATGAGCGTACACGTGCCTGACTCACTAAAGGCGGGGGCATTCTAAAGTAGTTCCATTCTAGATTTGATGTTTCTGAGAGTTTGTCAATGAACCCATCACTGCTGACTTCTCCCCCAGAACCGACCCAAGCTGACTGGTTTGTGACTAGGACCTTAACTATGTGACTGTGAGTCAGGACTGACTCAGTAGCAACAACATGTGACTGAAGTCCAGCGGTTGCCGTATTGTTCACCTGGTGTTAGATATCTGTGTACCTGGTGTCTTCTAATTGAGTATGTAAAACTTCCTCACTTACACAGACCAAAACTTTAACCTGTAGCAGGGAAACCCAGCGCCAAAATTAAGTCCCCATTCTACTTGCAGATTGCACAATATCTTTTTAATCCTTCATTTTTCTTATATAACCTTAAAACAATTTCATTTATAATTGATAGCGGGCGTCCACTTGGTTAAAACTGAGCAAACTTGCGCAACTTTCTTTTAATGGGGTGCTGCCTCTTGAAGACCGACTGTACTGTCCACTGACACTGGTTAGGCCTTTCCCACTGCCGAACTTTTCTATGTAGGCTACCATGAAGCTCTATGTTAGTATGGAAGAAGCTAGCGGGTATTCTACCATTTTTGATGTGTGGGTTGATCACAATTTCCCTTGAATTAGGCTGACGCTATTGAAGTCCACAGATCAGAAACTTGACAGTAGTTTTTGAAGTTGAAACCAGCAAAATAAGAAAAACCAGTTACTATTGAAAATTTGGTTTTAATATTTTCTGCCTCTTTTCCCCAAATTACCCTCCCCACTTGCTTGACAAATCTATGTAAAGGAGTTTGTTTGTCACATGTTTAACTTTACCTTGCCCTGTGTTATGGTATTGGCTGACATGTATAAGACTGGATGTGTATATTTATTATGGTGTCTTAAAATCATGAAGTTCACTTCCAGGAACATAGATAAAATCCAATTGGTAGTACATCAGAATTAATTTCAGTGCACCATGACATCACTGAAATGGAGTGCTATAATGTTACAGGGCTTTCAGGTTTGTGAAAACAACCATAAATCATACTAATGTCAGATATGAGTTGAGTATCTACAATAATATCACGTGTATCTCAAAATATTGGACTGCTGTTTGATGACTGGATGTTGCTGCATAAGTTTCTTCTATTGTCCCGTACCTTTTTGGAGAGAGAAATTTAATGGGATTTGAAATGTGCAAGCTGTCTAAATAAGGTGCAGTCAAATAAAGTATGGTTAAGTTGTGTTTGTATTTTTCTTTTAGATACAGCATTTTCTCATTGGGTTGTTTATGATTCTACTTCCTGAGGAAGCCCTCTCCCTTCGCTCCCTCTCCCCTCCAAACCAAGCAAGCAATCTAATCTGTTCCCTACTCCCTGCCTCCCATCCCAGAGTTATTTAGAAGTAACATACAGCTGTGAACTGTTCAGTGTTCTGACAAAGTAAGAAAATATTAACATGAACTCGATTTCCCCAGAAGTACACAAAGTTGGTTGACTCATAGATCAAGTTACAGTAGAAGTGAGCGTTTTTAAAAAATCATTTCATTGGGGGCTTGTACAACTCATCACTATCCATCCATCCATCCATTGTCAAGCAGAAATTAGCATCTTGCATGGATGAACCCAGATGTATTTTTTTTGGCCTTGTTTCATAGCATTCATAAAAGTTTCTAACTTACTATTTGTAGAATCCCTCATGTAAGGCTTTTTTTGCTCTGCATTGAAGACACCGAAGTACAGTATAAAGTGCTTTTTGTCCCATTCTTTTGAGGAGCTGTAATTAGTTACCCACACTTTAGTTCAGGATTTTTAGAAACGAGTGGGAGAATGGGATCTGAGGTATGTGAATGTGACATCACGTGTGTATGCAAACCTTTGGCCTGTGGTTTACTAGTTGTGTGAGGATCCAAGTTCATGTATTTGGGCCTACCAGGGAACTTGTAGCAACAACTCAGGATGATACAGGGAAGGCAGTGTTTCATTCTGCTGTAGTGTTGCTGTAAGTCAGAAATGGCAACATGGAACTATTTAAAGTATTTCACAAATTTAGAGATCAGGAAATTGGTACTTTTTTTTTCTTTTTGTTACCTTTCTTGTATACCTATGTATAACAGTATTAACCTATAACCCAAAGGTGTGATCATTCTTATGTTTAAAGAATGAGTTCATAAAATCTCAATACCTATGACTAGTTTTAGTGGTTTCCAGTTGTAGTAGTGCGTGTGTGAGTTGATAGCAATGTTCTTTGTGCTAGCCAGAAGTCACATGGAATTGGCTATCTGAAATGCCCCCAGTCAATGCCAAAAATCAAACACTGCCATGGAGGTGATTCCAACCCATAGCAACTGAACAGAACTGCCCTTTTGGGTTTTTGCGCCTTTACAAGAGCACCCCTTGACAGAGTGACTGGTGGATTCAAGCCACTGTCCTTGTTAAATCAATGCTCAAGGTCCACAATGCTCTCGGAACCATTGGGTTGATGCTTACTCAGCAACCCAATGAGGCCTAGTGGTTATATGTTGGGCTGCCGACTGCAAGGACAGCAGTTCAAAGCCACTAGCTACTCCTTGGGAGAAAGACTGGGTTTTCTACGTGCATGAAGAGTTAAAATCTTGGGAATGGACGGTTCTATACTGTCTATACTATAAAGTCACTATGGTGCTGTCCGAGCTCCTTCCCTAATAGAGGAACCAAGGTTTCATTAAATTGCCACCTATCTTTGGCTATTGAACTAGATATAGCTTTTGCTCATATTTAAAGCTTTAATAATAGGAAAGCATTTTTCACTATGATTTTTACGGCCATATTATCTATTAAAGGAGATCCTGATAACATACTTGAGCAAAAGGGGTGTTGCTGAACTGTTGATGTTGATAACTTCTATTTCATTTATACAGAGTCCGACACACGATCCGTCTCCAGCCCCACAAGAAAAACAGCCTTCAGTTTGTTACATGGAATCCCTGGGTTGAAAAAGATGCCTTCAAATGCAAAAACTTGTTTTCTGGTGAGACCTTAAGGAGTTTTGCATTGTTCACCCTAAAGAATTTGAAGTCATTCCCCTTGTGCATTAAAATATATATTTACCAGTAGTCTTAGAAGCGTGGACGTGTATGCATGTTTTGAAATTCTGTGAGCACGCATATGCTCACGAGACCAATACCAAGTGCTTTTATGAGCGAGCCAGATGAACGTTGCTCTGTGCCGTGACCACAGCACATCACCCTTGACTCCTGCTGGCCACCTAGGAAGTGTAATCCCTCCAAAGGCAAGGGATGAGCATGTGAAGTACCTGGCCAAAGAGCTGGGCTAGCATTTCATTCACTGCCATCCAGTTGATGCTGACTCCTGGTGAGCCCGCAGGACAGGGTCGAACTGCCCCTGTGAGTTTCTGAGACTATAACTCATGACGAGAGTAAAAAGCCCCGTCTTAGGAGCAGCTAGTGGTTTCAGACTTGGACCTTGTAGATTGCGTTCCCAGTGGGCTGTCTTAGCCCAGCCTGTTCACACTGCTAGAAAGGGTTGCTCCAAATCCATGCTCTGTTGGAGCAAACAATTCATCTTCAGATGAAAAATACCTAGCGATGAATGAAATCACAGGAATGCCAAAATCTGATAACTGCTCTAAAAACATAACATGAAATGGGCTACAAAGCGTCTTATTTATAATCTGGGTTATCCATAATGTGAAGAAATAAACTCATTTTTAGGTATAATGGGTTTTCATGACCACCTCTTGGCTGTATGAATGTCTTAATTTTCTAATAACCTCAGTTTCCTGAGAATCTGTATTGCCTTTTTTGAAAATCAATTGAATGTTCGAGGAGAGGAGGCTGACTTAAAGGAATTGTCCAAGGACATTTGCTGTGACTAGATTGGTTGCACAGTGATTTGATTTGAAATTTCTTAGGAACATTTTTATAGTTTTCTGGCTCCAGGGTTTTTTAGCAAACACTACTTGGTGAGATTTGTATTCCAGGAAGTGTGCACCCTCATTCCTTCATTGACAACTGCAAAGATTTGTGTGTCTCCCGTTTCCCTTTCATGCCAAAGCTGCTAACCCTTTTTAAAAGCCAGCAGCTCGCACAAACTGAA